AAGATTCTTCTAAGAAGCTTAAATTGGCATGGGTACCTGCTGGCTTGTTCTTTCCTCCTCTCTCCTTCCTTTAAGCTTCTACCCTTCCCCTGCATGTAACCCATGTTTCTGCTTTCCTACCAGTGTGCTGGACCCCATTTCTCCCCTTAATTTCCACCCCTGTTCCCTCATCTTTCTATTTGCTCTTGTACAGTTCCTCATTCCACACATTTCTTCTAACATTACTGGGCCCTCATCATCTCCCTCTGTGTCCACATCCTCCAGCCTCTGCATATCTTCTCTTTCCAGTTGGCTGCTCCTCTTGAATGCCTTTTCCCTCTTGTGATCTGTTCTTTGCCCTTCTGTGGTTCTTCTTTCCCCCTCTTGCCTGAATCACTGAACATGACCCCGCTTTAAAACAATCAGAAATAATGGGAGATGTTTGTGTAGGTTACCTCACTTCGCTCTGTATAAGGTATAAAAAATAGTGGTGATCTTTAGCTCAAGACAGTCTGTTTTCACACAGTGACTGGCAAAACCTGAAAAATTCCAGTCTCTTCTGGTTATCTGGACACCATGGAAAAATATCCTTACAGAAGATCAGGAGACTCTCAAAAATATTTTGCTTGGCCTGATGACATAAGCAGCACTTACTGTGGTACGGAGAACTGAGAACCTAACTGAAATAAATCCTCTGATTTATACTTGTCAGCAAAGCTGTAGGGACACATTTTGGAGCTCAAAGTGCCCTTGAATCCTTTGCTGCCATCGTATTCTACTCAACTAGGAGCAAATGGGTAGAGTATGCCACAGCTTGACTATAAGGCTTGGACCTACCTTCCTTTCTTACCCCCTTTTTGAGCTCTTCTGCCCCAACATTGCCATGACCCTGACTGTGGCCAATTTTCAATTAGTTTGAGGCACAGAAAATCAGAACTAGCTCTTGTATGAGGAACATGTTTAATCTACAGTATTTTATGAACCATTTGGGGCAGGCATAAATGTTCCATCTAATGGAAGTGCTGGGAATTCTCTTTTCAGTAAGATACGCTGTTTATTTCTAACTTCAGAAGAGACTGCAATATAAGCCCATAACAATATAGAATGAAGGCTTGCAATTTTTTTTTTTTTATGTCATTTATAACGTTTTCTAAAATGCTTTGGTTTTTGCTCCCTTAGAGCCGTGTGTAGAAAGTGACTAATGATTCAGATATGTGAAATGCTGCATCAATAAGATTTTTTGTGCTTTTTTTTTCCAAAACCAAAAAACATTTCTGAAATATTACCTGTAAAATATGAGGCAAAATTACCCAACCTAACACATTTGCTTGGGAGGTGCTGAGTAACTGACAGCACTGATAGTAGTGATTAATGTGGTCTGCAAACTCCTGCTGACAAGATCTTGACGCGGAATCATATAAACAAGTAATATGATAGCCTTTCACTCAGCTGCCCTCCTCCAGATATTTGTAAGTTCACATGCAAAAAGTGTAAATACTTCTGGCTGAAGGAGAGTAGCAACTCTAATAATGTTTACATTTTAAGCTATTTTCTTAATGCTCCATTAAATCAAGTTAATTTTTTGTAAACTATTTTACAATTTTTGTATGTCTTTTCACTTTTGGTACCAAAAGACAAGAGTATGTATCCTAATGTAAGACTAATTTAATTCCTCACCATTTTCTTTGGAATTTTTTATTTGTTCAAGTGTTACAACTTTCCCATTTTTCAGTCAGTGTCATTTTTTTTTCACCTGCTTTGGCACATTTCAGACCTAAGTGTTTTTCTTCCTTCCCTGACTGTTAATGGTACATGTGTTTTGGACATTTGTCTTCCATGCTCTCATGTTTGTGCAGAGGTAAATAACTCATTTCTTGTCAATTTTCTTGTTTCCTTAAATAATTTTTTTTTCCTTTTCTGACAACAAATCTTTTCTGCCATCCTTTCAGAAACCAGCTAGCAATCTTTTGTGTTATATGCATTTGAAATATGCTATTCTTTAACTACTTGCTTTCTTCAAAGAATACAGCTGTTCTGAAAATGGGATAATTTCCCATTTTGTCTATAAACACTGTCCTTGAAGATTTTTGGTTACTTCTGTGGTTGCTATTCTTTCCCATTGCAGACTGCCATCTAGTTTTGGCATCCTGGACTCTGTGGAAGAGCAGGAATGCTATTTCACTATTTCACTTTAGAGTGCTTTCCATGCAAGACAATGAACAGTGGTATCCTTGAGATGCTGGAAGGTTGTGCAGAGCTCTTTTCAACTAATCTCTTTTAATTTATGACCAGCTTTCTGAGCAGACACCTGTTAGAAAGTGCTTGGACAAAATCCCATGGGGAATTTCGGGGTTTGCTTCTTGAAATCCCCCTGTTACTAGCTTTTTGGGTACACTGTTTGGAATGGGAAAGCTGGTTGCATGACCTGGGTAGAAATTTGCTGTCTTCTTCCCTCTCCCTCACTCCCTCCTGATTTCATGATTAAGGTTTTTGAAAATATTACATATCTGTCTCCTTTTTCTGGATTATTCAGCATAGCCCTAAGGCTGATCTACTGTTCTAAGGAGAGGTGCTTTAAAATTGAGAATCCTCAACTCTTGAGATTAATTTTGTGGATTAGGCTTCCAGGGCCAACACACGTTCATCTCCCTTGTACTACTTCTTTTTTGCCCTGCCGGAGAAAAACCTGATGAGAATTACCTCTGCACCAAAATCCTTTTACCTCTAGAGGCCAGACAATCCCCATTTTGGTTGAAGGACTTGAGGACCTTGAAGGCAAAGGTGTTATTACAGAGTCTAAAAGGAAGGATGGTGATATTAAATGCAGTTGTCTCAGACACTGATTTGACTTTCTGTAGTTCAGTGAGCCAAGGAATTTAGGACAAGGTTATTTTCTTAGGTAATTAAGGGAAGGCCTTGAATTAGAAGAGTCATCACAGTGGCTTTCAAGGAACACATTACATTTTCCTCTCAGAATATGGTGGTGGTCTATATCTCAATCTAATGTCTACGATGAGAGGCAACAATGATAATATCAGGTAAGAGAAACAGAACTTTCTGCCCCTTAGGGAGCTCATAAAAATGGGAAAGTTGAAGTGCACTGATTATTTGAAAAAGTACAAGTAGCACCCATTCGGATGCATTTTGTTGCTACTCTCAACTGCTCCATATTTTTATTGCTGAAATTGTCAAAAAAGCCTGTCTCGGCAAAGGGGGTCTGTAGTGAGAAACCTACACATAGGTTGTCCAAGATTTACCATACTGCCAGCAAATATTGGATGTCCTTAGTTGGTTTCAGTGGAACATACTACAACAGATGCATTATATTTAATAATCCACAAAAAAAAAAAAGAAATCAAGAAAAGAAAGTTATTATTTCCAAGTATGAAGATGGGATCTTTTTCAAGATGTGTGAGATGTTTAGGATAAGAATCCAACCAATGATGCTAAGAACCCTGTGGTATTTCCAACACTGGTACTTTCAGAGGATGAGTAGTATAGATCTTTTGGCAGGGTGGGGAGGTTCCAGCGGGACTGGTGCTCAGGTACTCAAGCTGCTATGCCCATCAGAAAACCAGTCTCCTAAGATGCAGCCAGCAGTACCACTCTGGAATATCACTGTGGTGTTCCATAGGCTCCCCCATTTATGCCTCTTCATTTCAGACTGTGAGAATGGCTTTCATTTCTGGTGGTCTGGTCAGTGGCCTGTCAGTAGACATCTAAGGCCATCTGGATGAACTGGCACCTCCCCTCAGTTAGCCATTTGCAGTGGTATGGTATGCCTCAGAATTTTGTTCCCAGGGTAAACTCTTTCCTTGGCTCTCATAGTGATGAGAAAGTAACTGGAAAAGTAACTTCCAGAGTAGTCAATGCTGATGTTTTATGCAGGTGGACTCTGGATTTCTCTGAGTCTTATTTTTTTATCCATTACTTTTCCTCCTCAATGATTCTGTGAATGGTTCAGTGCTACACTAAGGCTGTTTATTTAACAGCGTCTAGCAATGTAGATCAATTTGCACGGTCAGTTGGTATTATCAAGTTCACATGCTTTATGAAGAATTAAGAGGCAGTCCAGAACAGCACAAATATTTTTTCCTCTTTCTAATTAGTAGTTACTCATTATGTCGGATATGAACACATCAGCATAGGACCATCTGTCTTTCCTAGTTAAATGAAGAGAGAGGGGGAGATGATTTGGAGTAATTTGTGCTTTTAATTTCTGGGCTGTTTTCAGTTTGGGGAGAAGGGAGAGAGTAATGTGTGTCACCTGGGAACTGTTTGTTTTCTGTATGTACCTGTCTTCACTTTCCTAGTTAGCTGATACTGAAAGACCTGTATTAGAAACTTCAAAGGCCCCTAGTTATTACTTACACTTGGGGGAAAAAAATTACTCAAACTAAATGGTGTAAAATCTTTGCAAAATTGAATATCATTGTAGCCATTAACCTTGTTAGCTAGGAGTATGTGCTTTTTTGATGTGGATGTGGAGTTTCAGCTATAATTCTACTTGCACGTGCGCAGGGGTGGGAAGTAGCATTAACCCCAACTGCTTCTGTTAATCTTTTACTCCTTTCCTGGTTCACCATGTTTGTTGTTGGTTCAGAGCCTGAGGTATTTGCTAGATGTGTGTTACAATGCTAATTACTAGAGGGTACTATGATTGACTGTAGAAATAGAAGCATAAGTTGTAATGTTTTAAGTTCAGATTCACTCCTGACCTTTGTCAGAAGTGAAGGAACTTCAGATACAGGGTTTTATTCAGTCTCTGTTCCTTTCCCTTTCCCATTCCCTTTCCTTTTCCCTAATGGTGCAGCATGTAAGTATTTGTTATTAAAAATGAAAGGAAAACAAATTAACAATAACGGGAGATTGACAACTTCATTAAAAGAACTGCATAGGGAATGGTGGGTCAGCTCGGAAACCTGCTCTCAGAAACAAAATTGAATGCAGTTCAGCAGTTGTGCCACACAGTGTCACAATTGGACTTCACTTCCTTCCACTCTGTATCTTTTCCATTGTAGGTGAAGATATTTACAAAGCCAGAGAAGAGGGGTCTGAAATGTGGGGAGCAGCTGAAGTGCAGGAAGATGAAGATACTCGTGTAGAAGTTCCCCTGGACCAGGTATTGATCAAGCTTTAAATAAATGGATGCTTTTTTAGGATCACAGGTTGTGTGTTGATTTTCTTTCCCCAATTTCTTTCAGGTGTACAGCATAATTCTGTGGGGATGATTGTAACAGCTTAATGATATGGTTTCTTTTATGGGAGCTTTAGCAAATCTTCCTCTCTCTGTTAATATGTCAAATATCAGTTACCTTTTCATCAGCTTCAGAACTGCTCTGAGAGCCCCTATAAGGTCTTAGAGCATTGGGACTCCCTACTATCACAACCTACCGAATAGATCCACCTGGGTTGGAGTCCCTTTATACTGGTGGAGCAGTGTAAAGGGACTATGGCACAGAATCAAGGTCAGAATTCCTGCAGTCCTGAACCACAAACAGGCATGGATTTATCTGATTTTTGTTAAAGCTGCCAGTACTTTCTTCTGTTGGAACAACATGGTACTTAGTTGGCCAACTTTTTAATCATAAGACTTATGTGCAATAAATAGGTCTTGATAACTAAACATAAGATTATATCCCCTTTGTTTTACTTTGATTTGTTTTTAAAAGAAAAATCCTGTGAACTGAAATAATACAGGAAATAGGTAAGTTGAAGTTTATTCCAATGAAGTGAAGAGTAGAACTGCTTAAATCACTTGCTGAAAAATTACCTTTTTTTTTCTGCTAGTGAATTGCTCACAAGACAGTCCTCTTTTTCATCTTATGTGTTTGTAGGAATTTTCCAACTTGTTCAACTTCCATGTCCCGTCCACAAGATGTTGCATTGTGCTTTCGTTGTCTGTTGATAATGGCTTGGGGCCAGCCACCTAGGTCACAAGAAAATATTTCTGATCCATGCTGCAGTGTAAGGAATCACAGTTCACCCAATAGATTTCTCAGGCTAAAAATCATCCCAACAACAGAAGGGATTCTTGGGCATTTTTCTGGCTTCCTGGTGGTCAGCACAGTGCTGAGGAACTGTTGTTAATGTGAGATTGTAAACAAATGGGAGGGAGGGAGTTAAAAATAGTTGTTTGTAAATACACTTTAGTTACCCAGGGCAACCAGATGGAGCACAATCAATCAGGGAGATTTCTGGAGTGTGTTGGAGACAATTTTTTTATGTAGGTAGTGGGATACGTGATTAGGCATTCTGCTGGATTTGCTACTCATGAATAAAGAGGAACTGGTTGGGGATGTGATAGTGGCAGCCTTAGTTGCAGTGACCATGAGACGATAGGGTTTAAGACCCTGGAGAAAGTGGGGATGGCAAATAACAAAATAAAAATACTCGAATTCAGGAGAGTGGACTTCAGCTTGTTTGGGAAACTGGCAGGCAGGATCCTGTACGGGACTGCCCTGAAGTGCAGAGGAACACAGGAGATCTGGTTGATCTCCCAGGGCATCTTCCTCAAAGTACAAGAACTATCCCTGTGTGCAAGAAAAAAAGCAGGCATAACAGGAGGCCGGTTTGAACAGAGGACTCCTGACCTCATACTAAAAGATGTGTGTGGTAGGTAGAAGATGGACTGCTAAGGAGCAGTATAGAGACATTGCCTGGGCATGCAGGGATGGAATTGGGAAAGCCAAAGCTTGTTGAGAAATGGAAACTGCTGCGTGTGATTGGGAATAACCAACATGGATTTACTATGGGCAAATCACGCTTAACCACTTTGCCTCAGTGATGAAATAACTGGCTCTGTGAGTGAACGGAGAGCAGTTATTGTCGTTTATCTTGCTTTCAGCATAGACTTCCATATTTGTAGGAGAAAATGAAAGAAGTGTGGTAGATAGGGAGAGGAAGATATCCTTAAGGAAGGTAGGGACTGGATTTGTGGGCTGCAAGGTGGATAAAAAAACGACTAGTTCAGTGGGAAGTAAAAGGTCAGTTGGTTGAAATTTAACTGGCACGTACAGATGGTGGTCCTCAGGGTTTGATACTAGGTCTGATACTTTTTAACATGTTCATGGGTAATATGGATGATGGCATGGGATGCAGCCTTATCCAGGCCCAGTAGTAAGGCCCAACTGTCATTATCAGCTGATATGCAGGGCTGCCTTTCAGAGCAATCTCAACAGCTTGAAGGAGTGGGCTGCCTCGAGCCTCGTGAAGTTCAACAAAGAGGAATGTGAACCTGGGCACCTGGAATGCAGTAACTGTGTCTTGGTACGGTCTTGGCACAGGTAGGCTAGGGAGCAACTGCAGAAAGGGCCATGCAGCTCCTGCGGCTAGCAAGTTGACAGTGAGTTGGTGGTGCCTCCTTTTGGTGATGAGGTTGACTGTGCAGGCTAGGCTAGTAAAAGCACAGCCAGCATATCAAGGGAACTGATTGTCTTCCTTGACTTGGCACCTCTGAGGTGGCATCTAGAATATTTTGTCCAGTTTTGAGTCCTTCCCAGTACAAGAGAGAGATTTACAAACAGGAGAGAGTCCAGCACAGCAACACACTAAAAAGTTTGGGGGGCTAGAGCTTATAACACAGGGAGAAGCTTAGGGAACTGTGTTTGTTTCACCTTAAAGGCTAAGCAAGAGAAGGCAGATCAAACTGCTCTCTTCAGCTATAGATGGAATAACAGAGAAGACGGAGCCAGGCTTTTCTCTGTGTTGCACAGCAGAAGGATGAGGCAATGGTCAAAAGTTGCAGCAAGGAAAATTCTAACTGGACATAAGAAAAATGTTTTCAACATTGAGAACTGTAAGCACTTTCCTGTTCAAAGAGAGTGGGGAATCTTTGCCTTTGGTGATATATAAAACTAAACCAGGGTCTCAAACAACTTATTTTTACTTTGAAGTTAGTGCAGCAGGGCACTGGCCTAGATGATCCCTAGAGCAGTACTCTTCAAAGTGGAGTGTGCACAGCCCAGGCAGTGTGCAAGACAGTCCATTGGGGTGCAAGAAGAAAATGTTAGAACTTCAGTAGTACATGTATATAATTTGTAAATAAATAAATATACATATATTGGGGAATCATGCTGAAAAAGTTTTTACTGATAGGACTGTGCAATCAAAACAGTTCAGAGACCACTGCCCTAGAGGTCTCTTCTAACATAACTTTTCTGTGATTCTGTATTTGTTCCTCTTTGATTATTTCAGTCTTATAAACTTTTTTTAGTAAGCTTAGTTTTTTTGTGCTTACTATTTAGTTGGCTAATTTTTTTCAATTTATTTGTGTTGGGTGAAAGAATACTAGACATATATACATTTTGCTTGTGTTCTGCTTTTAAAAAAATGCCGGAGGGAAAAATAGAAGTTTTATGACCTTACTCTTTGTATATCAATTTCTGCCTCCATTACTAATCTGTACATTAACAAAATCCACCTATGAAGTTGCCGCTGTAGCCATTTTGAAGAATGGCATCATAACATGTGAAAAAAAACATCTGGATCTCTCAATTTTATTTTAGGCTGCTGTTTCTAAGAAGGATCATTCCCAGTGATTTATTCATTTTAATGGGAAGGAGTGTTGCTGAGCTGTTTTATAGACATTGTTCTTGAAGATGTGTGAATAAGGTGATTGAGAGGCAAGAGCATGACTGTCCTGGTCTCTGATATAAGGAATGCTACAGCTGTGTCTTTTCACAGCAAATACCTGCCCTGGCCTCAGAGGCTTATGTGCTAAACACCATTGGGCTCATCAGCCCTGTTAATTGCAGTTGCCCTTATGAGGTGTTGTGATAATGAGGATGTGTTGGGTTGTACTGATAGTACTGACATTGGGAAAGAACATGCCACCTGTCGTCTTAATCTTTGTTTCTTATGACATCCTGAAGTATATCCTGCCCTGGTCTTGACAGTGTAATAATCAAATTGAGAAATGATTAGCCTGTTTATTGGCCTCTGAAGGTGTGTAAAGAATTACTCTGGGTAGTGTAAAGTATTTGACAGTGTAAATTGGGTTGTCAGGTCTTAGTTTTTAGGTTGACTGCGATTCATATGAAATCCAAGAGCGCTCGTGACGGCCGCCTTACTTCTCCACAGAGATCCTACAGCGCAGGCAACAGCTCTGCCCATTCCGCCGTGTGTCCTACTGGTTTGCCTCAGCCAGAGGATGGTGACCATCACTAGGGAGGGGAGGATAGTGAACTCTCCAGTACCACTTCTGTACTTGGCAGTGGTAGCTGCGGTTGTTGATACAGTTGCTGGTGAGCATAGGATGTGCTGGCAAGCTTGCAACGCCAGGAACTTGCTTGGTACCCCTAAGCTCATGCACCAAGGCCCATGCATCGTCCTCAGATGGAAATGTTTTTCAATTGCTACCAACTGATTTTGCTACCTGGACAAGGAACTGGAAGCAGATGTGTCTGGGGGGAAAGGGGGTGGGGGTGGAATTAAAAAATCAGTCATTCACACTATTAATAATCTGATTTTCATATTTTCAGAAAAGCCAAACAAAGCACTGAAATTTATTGCAACTCAAGCCATAGTTTATTTCTTATTTTAAAACTTCATGTATAGTTGCCTAGGTAATCTGGCAAGAAGCCAGGTCCTTCTGAGTAGCACTGAGTACTTTTTATTCCCAGATAACTGAGGCATCTCATGATCCTAGCTGACCAAAGGGATATTCCATACCATATGATGTCATGCTCAGCATGTAAAGCTGGTGGAAGAAGAAGGAAGGGGGGATGCTCGGAGTGATGGCGTCACTGTTAGGGGTGATGGAGCCCTGCTTTCCTGGAGATGGCTGAACACCTGCCCACCAATGGAAAGCAGTTAATGAATTCCTTGCTTTGCTTTGCTTGCGCACCCAGCTTTTGCTTTACCTGTTAAACTGTCTTTATCTCAACCCACAAGTTTTCTCACTTTTACTCCTCTGACTCTCTCCCCCATCCCACTGGAGGGGAGTAAGCGGCTGTGTGGTGCTTAGCTGCCAGCTGGGGTTAAACCACGACAGCAGTGCATGACCCCTACAAGGAATTCAGGCAGGTTGTTTTGCCTACTTTGCCATGGGGTATATGATACTGGCTATTAAGATTTAAGTGATGTAGAGCGAATCTGGGTTTGTTTTTTTCTTCCCTCCAG